CCCCCCCCCCCCCCGCCGAAAAAACAAGAACAACAGACTAGATATGCCTTTCAGCAAATGGCAGCAAACCTGTCTTGTCCGGGGAGAAGTCTAAGGGGCAAGTCGCTGCATCTCCCTGCGACAAGCTGCGTCGACTTCGCCGAAGAGGACCTCCAATGCAGTGCCCAACTTCAGCTGTTGATGCACAGCCCTGGTAACCTCCTCAGCTCCATGGCTCCTTTTCGGTTCTCCCAACTCAGCCAAGCCATGAAGCGGTCGCTGAGTTTCTTTTCGGTTGGCAGCCCAGGCACTAGGCACTCCTATGGCTCCCTTTGCTCAGGCTCCAAACTGCCATCGACCTCTTTGATCCCCGCAAATTTGCACTTGTCTTTGGCTGTCGGTGGGACCGATTTTGCTTCACTCGACTGCGCGCAAAAGGAAATGACACATTGCACTTGGTTAAGAGCATGTCTTGTTTTTGTTTTGGTTTCCTCATGCGCCGCCGCGTTCCGACGCCGACCAAACTTGTCATGCTGAACTTTTAGCGCCTCAAAACCCGAAGTGACTGTTGCCCACCGGCCATGGGCACCCTTCTGGTTGGCCAGGTTTGGGGATGTTTGGGGCATGGGGCTTAAAGTCGCATCGTACTGCATCCGCGGGGCTAAGTAGTTCTCACGCCTGGGGCGCAAGGACTGCGAGAGGAGCGAGACTCCGAGCACCCGAGCCCTGGTATGGAACACGTGGAACCCTGCCCAAAAAAAAGCAAGATTCACCCTATGGGGGTGAATCTATATTCCGTTATCCCATGTAAAGGAGCTTTCGATCAACCCTCGTATATTACCAGGATGTGTTAGCCAAAGAGTTCGTAGTGGCTACCAGCCACATGGCACAGCGCCAACTGGCCAATGGAGTTTTCAAGCCAGGCACACAATACTTGTTGGCACCGTGATCATCCCCGACCTCCTGACTGTGTGTCCTTGCATCATTCCGTATATCCCGCTGAGGCTCTGGGGTTGCTGTATATGAAAGGTGGTGCAAGAGGAACTTTTGACTTGTTGGGCTACTTGTCTTTTTCAGCCAGTGGCCCATTTCAAGAAGCCACTCCTTTTTCTCATCCTCGCATCCTTGTCTGGTCCTGCTTTCCTGTCGGCTGTTCTCTGGACATGCGGACCGACGAAGCACATTGTGGAACTAATCCAGACAATGATTCATACGCCCCATACCTTAACGGGGAGTAGCCCAATTCCTTTTCTTTTTTTCCCCTAGTCTCACCTACAAAAAGGGAATCCCCCCTAATGAAAAGGTTGGTAGGATTCTTTTCATGGTTTCCATTGTGGAAACATCGCCCGATGGGGATCCACCGTGCTTTCGAGATCTGATGGAGCACAAACCCCCGTGCGACCCAAAATCCGAATGCAAAAACACCGTGATCCAATCCGCAGCCCGCGTGGTGTTGAACAAATTCAACCCCAGCAGTTGTCAAACATGATTGGGTCGTAAGACCCCGTGGACTAAAAGACTGGAAAAAGGCACTCCACACACACACACACATGGGGCTTCCAAATTTCAGCAGCTTTTTTTGGGCCCCCAAGTACTCATCGACGTCCACTGCGGCGGGGCTGCAGGTTCACACCGTCCTCGTGGAAGCCTGCGAGGGATCTTGCTGGTGCGATAGCTCGGCAAAATGACCACGAGACGTGTTGGGCATGAACCGTTTGGGGATGAACAATGATATATATATATATATTAGATACAAGTTTATAATATCTATATATATATATATGTGTACATGTATATAGGGGAAGGTGAAGATGGTGTCATTCCATGTCCGATTCCCTGCCTATCGAACCAGCCAGTGTTCCCCCGACAAATTTCGGCCAGGGCGAATAGGCAGCCATCGCTGTCCAAGCCACGCAGTTGAGAGCAGGAATGGCTCAGAACTCCCAAATTGACATACGCCACTAGGGCTTAAATAGAGACTAGAATGGGTCAGATCGGCTCAAACAACCCATAGGTCTTGCAAAAGATGGCTTTGGTGCCCTTTTTTGAGTCTATCGGGTTTGGCGCTGTTGCAAACGAAGCGGCCTTTTCGGTTGACACGTCTAAAGGCTAACTTGCATACCCCACATTAGTGGTTGTACATAGGTTCTACGGGTTGCAAACCTGGCTTGCCTATGTTGTTTTCGATTCGAGAATTGAGATGCCAGATCTCGCAACATTCCATCTAGTTTCTCACGACTCAGGAATGCTCAGAAGTCAAGTCGAAGCACCTAGACCCAATGATGATTTCAATATTTCAAGCCGCACACTTCTCCCCGGCGAATCTGAGGTCAGTCTGGTGCAAAATGACAGATGCCCTCCCCCTCCCCCATGACAAGACAAGATCATGGTGCTGCTCAGAAGCGGAGAAATGCCGAGGCTTCTTCTTCTGAGCGGATCCTTGGAAAGCAAGTAGCGGCAGCAGTAGCAATTTGGTACTGCGTGGTGCCAATGTGCAGTAGTTGCCACGGCACTAGCAGCGGAACTCCAGGAAATAGCATTTCTGAAGTGGAACAGTGGCAGCACGGCAATAATTAGTCTAGTGGTGTGGGTTGGCTAGAAAGCTGCAGCTCGGGCCACAAACCTAAAGGAGGCATCATTGAGCACTTCGTCTGGGAATTGCAAAGGGCGGCAAGCGGGGTGGTTCAAAATTTGGTTGGCAAATGGCCCGGAACGCGACAGTCTCTTTAAATAGCACGGTGCCACGAAGCCACAACGTTGCTCCATGTGCTCTTGGCCAAATCGCTCTGCCGGCCCTTGCCCGGGGTGCCCCGTCACTGACTGTCCCGTTTCTCGCTAGCTGCATCCACACCCCACTGAAACGATTTTGAACGCGCAGCCAATCACAGGGATCCTTACATTATACACCTGAACATTGCCTTGTAAATGGTGGTTTCCTTTGATTTTGGTGATAAAAAGGCCATGTTTCAAATGGTTGCAACAGGTATCTTTTAAGGAGCCCCCTGTTTCCGGCAACTTGGCTCCCCGGAGGTTCCCTGCCGAGCTGCGCGTAGAACTGGTTCTTGGGGGAGCCGCCCTCCACACCGTTCTGGACATGCGGAGGAGTTGGGAAGATAAACCTGGGGCAAAGAATGCTCCGGGCACGCTTCATGGGAAATACACCCCGCGTGCCTTGGCGGTGAACAAGCAAACACCGCAATTTGCTTGCGAGCACTTGGCAGTGATTCGAGATCCAAGCGTTGCACGGCCAACACCTGTCTGCAGCGATCGCCTATTTTTAGAATGTGAAGCTTGATGACTGCAATTGGTTCCCTTTGCTAGGCTTCCCTTTGGGGGGTTGAGAGGCCCAAGCCAGCTCAACCTATGCATTCTTGCCGTCAGGGCGCCAAATCCAATGGCTCTTTTTCTGTCCAGCACGGATCTCGTTCAGAGCCACTGAATAGGATGTCCTCGGCTGCAGGGTCTGTTTGCACAGCACTTGCGGCTCGTACCATATGCCCGCGCAGGGTATACATTGTGCCCCTTTCACAACTACCATTGAAACTCGAAGCTCATATCAACAAATTCCTGGTCCAAGCAAAAAAACCCAGCAAACAAGCACTAAACCCCTGCTCATAGCTGATCTGGTTGCTTCAGGCCAAGGCTTTTGCCTCTCAATCCAATGCGCTACGCCGATTCCGAAAATTACCGGAGTTGCCCAGGCTCCTGCCACGGACCCTCACCGCTTGGTGACACAGGCCTTCCATTCGAAAAAGCACGGACAAGCACCCGCGATTTCCACATGACCCGGGCTGTCCGATTTCTGCTCCCCTGCCAAAAGTTGATATCTTGTGGGTTAAACATGGAAACAAGCCAACCACTAAACCAAACCAAACCAACTAAACCCACCACTAACCAACCACTAAACCAACCACTCACATGTTCTGATCCCCCACTAAACCAAAAACCAAAAAGCCAGAGGAACCGGATGGCACCACCTGGACTTGGCTCGTGTCACATCTGACAAACTTCCGCGCCAATTTTTTTCACCGCAGGAAGCACTCGGAAGGGTCAGCTTTTCTTCTCCCCAACCAAAGCCCCCAGTCTCGTATTCCAGTGTTTGAGCGTGGACGATACATTTGCCTGATCTAACTTAACATGTTTTTGAAAGCACATCTGTTTGCAATATGACGCAAGAGTACCTGTGGCGTTTATGGCCTTCTACCAGGTCTCCTCTGCTGATCCGTGAAACGGCGGAGGTTGAAGGGATCATCGCTCTCGAGCATGGCGTGAGGCCAAAGGAGGCCAAAGGCATCGGCCTTGTTGAAAGCAGCTGACTGGGCTCCTTTCTGTGGGGAGGACCTCTTTGAACATGTCCCTCAAATTTGGGTACGCTGAGGAAAAATGGGGCAGTGAGTTGTCCTGAAGGTCGTAGGGGCCTCCAAAGGGGAAAGGCAAGTGACATGAAGCACTCTTGGCGATGGCTGGTTCATGCAATGTGTTCTGCTACTCAGCCTTGATGCTCATCAGGGCAAATGAGCAGATGCAACTGGCATTGGAGGAAGTGCTCCTTTGATCGAGTTGGTTGCGCTTCCTCCAATTAACATGGCACCTGAGAGAAGGTACCTGGAAGATCAAACGCCTTTTGAAGGGACCCTTTGTCAGTTGCCATGTTAGTTAAGTACGTGTGTCTTCTCATGCCATGAAGTGCGTGCTCGCCGCACAGGCCTTGACCTCTACCTCTAGCCCGTTCGCGCCATGCGCGCTTTTTTTTGATGGGTGCAGGTGCGATACTGAGCCGGCCGGGAAACGGTCTTCATTTCCCCATGCGACATGCGACCTCTCGTTTAAGGCTCTGAGCTCCGAGCCTGAGCTCTCAGCTCCGTGCCTGACTGCGGATGCACCGCTGATCTTTTTCTTTTGGAAGGGTCAGCATTCAGCCCGGCCACAAGGATCGGCCCACTACGAATCACTCAGAGAGGGCAGCCACTGGGCACTGGGCAAAGGATTTGGGAGAGCTGTGCATTCAGAAGGAGCATGGCTCACAAAGAGTTGTTGACCCAGTAGGAGAGGTACATGGCGGAATAGCCCAAGCTCAGCTCCTGCACGTTGTGGCCCAGCTCTGCGAGCCAGCGGTAGGTCTCGAATGGTTCTGGGCTCTCCGGGGCGCGCGCCTCAGGCTCCGTGCGGGTGACGCCCTCCTCTTCTCGTGCGGTGCCTGAAGCGATGTGGGCGGAAGTGAGCTCCTCCAGCACGGCTCTGCCGGGGGCGGTGACCAGCATGGAGGTGATGCCCGACTCTTCCGCCACGTTCTGGAGCGTAATCTCTGGCTCCCAGTGCTTGCCGCCCTTCACCACCCCCGAGTTGTGCAGATTCTGCATGAAGTCTTGCAAGACCACGGTGGCACCGCTCTCCACGAGCTCGTTGGAGTAGTCCTGCAGCATCTTTCGCACTTTCTGCGCCCGCCCTGCAGCCACATAGGCCTCCCCAAGGTCCTCCGCTGTGCTGGGCATGTCTGGCAGTCGGCGACCAAAGCCTCGCAGGAGGTAGATGTGGCGCTGGTCCAGGCTAAGGTCCCTGTCCGCTTTGCCCAGGGCTTCCAAGATCTCTTTAGCGGTCAGCTGATGCGCAGTCTCCTCATCTTTGCCCGCGTGGTGCTTGCGGTTCACGCGCAAGGCCCTCTGAAGCTTCTCAGCCGACAGGATGCACTCTAGGAGATGCTGCCGCCGCAGCTCCTGCACAAAGCTGGAGGGATATCTGAGCAGGTTGTCCAGCAGCTGCTTATGCCCGCCCTGCATCTTGCAGCCATCCACCGCCGGCAAGCAAAACATCTCCTTGAGCGAAATGCTGGGCGGCAGCGGCGCATCGGGCTTGTGCAGCGCATGCTTCTGGGTGAAGAAGGTCTCCTCTTGGAACTGCACGCGCTCCTTCTTGAGCCTGTCCCTGGTTCGCACCGCATGCAGCTGTGCTGTGGGCTGCAGGATGGTCTTCAAGGCCGTGAGGTGCTCCCGGGGCTTGCGGGGGAAGAATAGGCGCAGCACCGCGCTCAGGACCGAGACGTTCATCTCCAGGGGCCGCTCCTCGTCCTCCCCCACCACCCGTGATGCAGAGGACACAAAGCGATGCTGCAAGCACACCAAGCAGCAGCAGAGATTCAACAGCATGGTGGAGGCGTCATGGAAGGTGTCCTCATGGAGGTCCCGCAGCAAGCCTCGATAGAGGAGCTCAGCGAAGGGGTTGAACTCTTCCAGCAGCAAATCCTGCGTCCTGCTCTTCACCAATGCCGCTTCGCTCTTGGGCCTCTCAGCGCCGCACCTACGGCAAAAGACCGCGTCGGCCAGAAAGACGTTGCCGCAGCGGCAGACCTCCTGGTCAGTCTCGTCTTCGGCTCCAGGCCGCTTTGTCCGGCACATGCGGCAGAAGAGCGCGTCTGCGGCGAAGACGTTGCCGCAGCTGGGGCAGGTCTCCGCCATCTTGCGGCCCAGGTTCCCCAGGTCCTGGCAGGAGGGGCGCCGATTCAAGGAGCTCCGGCGCCGGCCCAGGTTACTCCGGCGCCTGCCTGGCTTCGCGACGCTCGAGATGCCCAAGGCCTCGTGAGCTCCTTCGCTCAATTGCTTCAAAGTGGTGCGGTCCCGCAAAGCCAGCAGGAAGTTGTACATCACTTCCATCTGCTGCGCGCGGCCATTCGCCCTTGCGGGCAAAAACTTGTCATTCACAAACATGTCAAGGGCCAGCTGCGGACGACCGCTATCCTCCTCAAGCAGGACGTGCGTGGTCTTTTCCACCCAGAGCTCCTGGCAAAGCCCCGTCACAGCCTCCTCCCTGAAGGGCTTGATGGAGACGGAGCCCACAAAGCGGAGGTAGGGCGGCACGTTGGAGCCATCGCCCAGGCCGATGAACTCCGTCTCCAGCACAGGAGCCGGCACCAGGACCCGCTCCTCGTTGTCCAGCACCATGACACTCTTCAGGGTGCCCCGGAGCTCGTCGGTGTTGTAGTCCGGCACCAGGCGCAAGGTGCGTTTCAAGTCCTGGCGGAGGCCGCGGTAGAGGTCCAGCAACATGCCATACTCCTCTGCGAGCACTTGGACTTCTTGAGCCACCTCCTTCACCAGGTCCTCGTCGTCTTGCCCCCCATACCTTCCATCTGCTTTTTCGACCCCTGGAAAAACTGAGAACATATGTGTCAGCGATTGGTTCCCTTCAAAACCAACAAGGGGAAACAACAACAAAAACACATATTCCCTTCAAGCCCAACACGGGAAAATATATCACATATTCTCCAGCCAATAGATCAGCTACTGCAAGGGGTCCGGCGGCAGCAGCAAGCCCTGGCCGATGGCCAGCGCGGCGAAGGCCTCGCCGGAGACGATCATCACCGGCGGGGTGCCCTCCTTGCCCTCCCGGCGGCTGGCCGCCGCCGCGGCCGCCGTGATGGCGGGCCCGGCCGCGGGCTGCAGACCCATCTGGTCCTCCGCAGTGCCCTTCAGGACCACCTGGGCACATGGCCCAAGCTTCACCCAAGATAGGCACGGGAAACGTCACAAGGGCTCCCAAACAGGACTGCATAAAAACCAAAGATGAAATTTTGTGCCCTTTTTCACGGACTTGTTGTGTGTGTGTGTGTGTGTGTGTGTGTGTGTGTGTGTGTGTGTGTGTGTGTGTGTGTGTGTTTCTGTCTGTGTCTGTGTCTGTGTCTGTGTGTGTCTGTGTCTGTGTCTGTGTCTGTGTCTGTGTCTGTGTCTGTGTCTGTGTCTGTGTCTGTGTCTGTGTCTGTGTCTGTGTCTGTGTCTGTGTCTGTGTCTGTGTCTGTGTCTGTGTGTCTGTGTCTGTGTCTGTGTCTGTGTCTGTGTCTGTGTCTGTGTCTGTGTCTGTGTCTGTGTCTGTGTCTGTGTCTGTGTCTGTGTCTGTGTCTGTGTCTGTGTCTGTGTCTGTGTCTGTGTCTGTGTCTGTGTCTGTGTCTGTGTCTGTGTCTGTGTCTGTGTCTGTGTCTCTGTGTCTGTGTGTCTGTGTGTGTCTGTGTGTGTCTGTGTGTGTCTGTGTGGTCTGTGTGTCTCTCTGTGTGTGTCTGTGTGGGTCTGTGTGTCTCTCTGTGTCTTTGTGTGTCTGTGTGTGTCTATGAGCGTGTGAGTGTCTGTGTGTGTGTGTGTGTGTCTGTGTGTGTGTGGCTGTGTCTGTGTGTGTCTGTGTGTGTGTGGCTGTGTCTGTGTGTGTCTGTGTGTGTGTGTGTGTGTTTGTCTGTGTGTGTCTCTGTGTGTCTCTGTGTGTGTCTGTGTGTGTGTGTGTGTGTGTCTGTGTGTGTCTCTGTGTGTGACTGTGTGTGTCTGTGTGTGTCTGTGTGTGTCTGTGTGTGTGTGCGTGTGTGTCTGTGTGTGTCTGTGTGGGTCTGTGTGTCTCTCTGTGTGTGTGTGTCTGAGTGTGTGTGTGTGTGTGTCTGTGTGTGGGTCTGTGTGTGTCTCTCTGTGTGTGTTTGTGTGTGTTTGTGTGTCAACAGCAGAGTAGGCGTCAAGATAGAAGCGTGCTTTTCTGGCGGCTGAAGGCATGAGTGTCGGTTCGGTATCGACTCAGCATGCCTCGGTTTGGCCACAATTGCCTCACAAGCGCCAAGATTATTCGAGTCAACTGTATCCTCCTGGCTTCTGCGGGCATCTGGTTTGCAAGGGTTTGGTCTACAAACTTTTTGAGGGACAGCCCCACGAAAACAGCGGCAGCTTCTCTTTCGCCTCCGGCCTGGCAGCCGCCCTGCGGCAGCACCGCCCGCAGCAGCCGGCGCCCGTCCACGGCGCTGGTGCTGCGATCCGTGGGCTTCTTCTGTCGACCGCGCGTGGCCATGGAGAGCTCCATGTCCAGCTCCAGCGGCAGCTCGAAGTTCACGTTGGCTCGGGGGATGTGGCCACTTCCTTCCATCGGCTTAAAATTAAGCCCCCTAGGATTTGTTTTAAAGCAACTACGTCCAGCAGTGCGAGATTTGCTTCGAAGTGAAAAAAAACAAGAGCAATCACTTCCAGTAGTGAGAGCTTGTTCTTCGAACACCAACAAGGGAGGAAAAAAAAAGAAGAAACACGCCTTCTGAAGCCAAGGCTTCTAGGGCTGGCGGCCTCGCCCATGAGTCCCATGGCATCCTGCAGATCATGGACGCGCTTGGACAAGATGGCCACCCGGCTGTTGGACTCCTTCAGCCTGGGATCTGATTTTCTTTTTGGAGGACCCCGGCGAGAAAATGAAATAAAAAGGTCCTCCAGACTTGAGAGGTTCGAGGAAGTTGGTACCCCCTTTTCCTCTAGTCCATTTTAGGGGACTAGTAGGGGGACCCCTGGTTTGCGGAAAACCAAAAAAAGGGAGCCCCAAAGACGCTAAAAGGAAAAAACTGCGTCAAGAACAACAGGATGTGAGCTCTTTCTTTGGGGAAGGAGCTGCACGTTCATGGCGGTCATGTCCTTCCGCGCCTGGTCCAAATCCTTGCGTGTCAGGTAGGAGGCCGCCTGCACGCTGGACAGCTCGGCGTTGGTCTCCCGTAGCTCCTCGAAGCGGATGGCGTTGCTCTCACGCAGACCCTCCACTTTCCTTGGCTGGAAAAATGGACAGCACAAATAAACAAATACATATATATATATATATATAGATATCAAGCAAAAACAGTGTATATATATATATATATGTTTTTGCCTGGTTAGAGGAAAACAAAGGGAACCCCCAAAAAGCAAACACATAAGTAAAAAGGGGAACAAATTCTAGGAAGTCTCTGGCGCAACTCGTTGCGCTGGCTCACCACCTCGGTTGCTGCAACGACCCCTCTGCAAAAGCTTTTAACTTTTTGTAGGTTGAGTGGAAAACAGGGATCCGTACATTATACACCTATTTTGGTGGAACAACATGTTTTAAATGTGTAACATGTATCTTTTAATGATTTAAGGAGCCTGGAAAACCCAACTTGATTTCAACCAAAAACAATAAAGTCTAAAGACCCAACCCAATAGCAGTCAAGCCACCATTTCGTAGCTCTCGTTCTCCTTCTGGGCGTTCTGCCGCACCTTCTGCAGCTGCTGCTTCAGGCTCTGCGCCTGCTTCTTGGCCTCGTCGAGGCGGGCCTGCAAGGCTTCGATCTCCTGCTCCGCCTCGAGCCGCCTCTGCTTGCACACCTCCACCTGGCTGAGCTCGTGAGTCCGCAGGACGAAAAATGGCGTGAGCTGCAGCACGTCTGCTCCTGGCTTGTAGTTCTCGAACACGCAGCTCAGGATCTCACGCTGCAGAAAGCGCAGGGTGTCGCGCAAGGGGCTGGAGACTTTGCAAATCTCCTCCAGCAAAAGGCAAGCTTGCTGCAAGCGGAAGAGCTCGGGGCCCTCAGATCCGCCGTGAAACACGAAGGTGCCATCCTCCATCTCCTCGCCCACGTCTCGCTGCAGCTCCCGACCTTGGTCCCGCAGCAAAAAGTTTCACTTTTTGGAGCTTGAAAGGAAATATGATGGATATCCAAAAAGTCACACTCCAAAAAACGGGGGAGGGAGGGATTGAAAAGTTAAACTCAAACGTCTACTGGGATGGATATCCCAAAAGTTAAAAGATCCGCTGAACCGATCGCAGAGCGACATCGCACCGAGGCCTGGAACAGGGCGCTCTTGTAGCAGCCCGTGGACGCCTTCCAGGCGCAGCTCTCGGAGGCCACGTCCGGCAGAAGCGCCTGCGCTGCCTCGCTCACCTGGGCTGGCCAAAGGTTTCACTTGTGGGCTACATGGAAACCCAACCACTAAACCAACAGGGATCCCTACATGTGGGAAAGGCCATGTTTGAAGTGGGGTACATGGGTGTGGGTCAAAAATGCGTACCCAAAATGGCTTGCCCTGATAAATGGAACCAAAGACTAAAACCTGCGGTACCACTAAACCAACTAAACACCTAAAAACCGAAGGAGACGGATGGGAACTTCACCAGGTCACATACGCCGCGTACTCCCGGCTCAGGGCACGCTTCTTTGTCCGCTCACTGGCGCCCGACTCCTTTGGAGTGGACAGCGGAGCCCTGTCTCGGAAGGTCTTGCAAAGCTTCTCCTCGCTCTCCAGCCGCTTTTCAGGCCGCGGGGTAAGAGTGGCGCTGGTCCAAAATCCGTCCGAGCGGATGGCATACTCCATGGGCGGATTCTTCCTGGGCGGCGTCCCACTGCGCAGCTTCACCTTCTGCGGCACCGGAGGCTGCCGCAGCTTTGGCCACCTGGGACTCTGTTCATCGGGCATCTGGCGGAGTCCATGCGCCAGCCCAACGGAACCCGACTCTTGAGCATCCTTTCAGGACTGGTTGCGCTTCAAACAAACTCGAACTGATTGGCGGTGAATAAGCTGTGCGCGCCTGACTGCAGCCAGCTTTTCTTCAAAGATTCCTGCTGCTATCTGAAACCGGTGAGACGGGCAAGTCATGGCAGGTTTTCCAAGTCAGCCCAGATACAAATGTGGGAGACCAAGACGCAACCCGTGGATATCCGTGGATCGAACCGCAAGCAATGAATAGCTCTTGGCAAACCAGTCCGAAACACATCCAACCAGACCTGACGCGTCCAAGGGCCGAACCCCCCATGGGCAGCGCCTATATCGAAGGCCGCCGCGGTGTCACTAAGCGAGGGGGAGTCCGTAAGTCCTGGCCAAGGATTGGGTCACTTGGTCGGTCGGGACATGTTATGCTTCAAATGCCGAGGCAGGACCTCCGAGGACATCTTCTGCCATGAGTTGGTCACAAGAGCCTCCACGAGTTGGCAAGCCGAACTTGTGGGAACCATCTCGTAACAATGAAGATGTTACCCGTCAAACCTTGCCATGAATGCTGTCAGCCGCCTTGTCGCCTTGTCTGCAAACATGCTTGTCTGTGCTCTATGGACTGATGCTCTTGGACCTATTTCAGAACATTCCTTATCTCAAACCGCGAACCGCAGTCTCCTCCTCGATGCTGCCCGATCCACTGTGACTTTCGGCCTGCGCGTGGCAAAGCTTCTGGTAGGACGGAACTTCTCACGCTGATTCGCCGTGTGCAGCAAACACACATCGTTTCCACGCACGGTTGCGGGCACTCATGTCTGAAACCAACACATGTGTGTTCGCACACAAGTCTGACTTCCGTGTTGGCATGCCAACATGTCACTTTGTTTGTAATTACCCTTTGTTGTCAATTTATTGGGTGAAAGCTGATGCTATCCGCTTTTCTGCACCAGCCCGCACCCACCCTTCTTGCCACGCAGCGGAGCTCCGGCAACCTGCTCACAAACTCATTTGACCGAATCCTTTGGCACCGCGGTCTTCAAGCGCCGCCGGGCGGGACGCGCTTAACGCTCAATGTGAAGCGCGGCATGGACTTGAAGAGCTGGGAGCGCGCGAGCAAATCGCCTAAACAGTGAGCAATTTGGCAATGGTACATGGTCCAAGAAACCGAACCCGCCAAATGTGGAATGGGGCAATTAGGCTGTCAACACCTATTGGGCCTTTGCAGTGATTGATGCACAGCCATGTTGCGGGCTACGACTTGCCTGCTCCTGCCAGCTACGTCGCGCTACGGCCTGCTGCAAACGTTGAGGGCAAAACCCGCGCATTGTTTTGGTGCTTGGCCTGTGCAAACTCTTTCGCACAACCACACAGTCATGTGCAAATATAGCCGACAATACTTTGGAGTGGCGCATGATGTTGACGGGTCAAGAGATTTCCGACGCGCCGTGACTGAAGCAAGCAATGTTGGCAACGCTCTCATGGCCATCGTTATGAGGATGTAGACAAGCGCCGGTAGCTGCGTTTGCGGCCGTGAATTGGCAACAACTCGCGGGCAGCACGGTCTACTCTGCACACGGCACAAAGAAACATATCAAACATTACGCGACCATCCAAGGCCGTCCAGAAGACATATGCAAGAAAACGCATATGCGAGGTTGTGTCTAGCAAGCATTTCTTGTTGGGGAGGTGGTGCCACCACAACGGCCGTTGTTTCTGAAGGACACTTCCTAAGCCACGCTTTGGAATCGAAGAGTTGGAACAACATGCACTTGATGTTTTTGTGTAACATTGCGCTGTCAGATTGGGATGTGCCAGTACTTGGCGGAGAATGATTCACGTGAAGGCTGTTGGCTGACGTCTGGTAGCTGCTGCCGGACGCCGTTCGGAGGCCATTAGATGAGTTCAAACAATTATGCACTGATGCAAACGAGCGTCTCTGAGCAGCACTTGGCTGATGCGACTGTCGCGTGCTTTGCTGCCGGCGCGGAGTATTACAAACCTGCCTTGAGAAGACCAGATTCGACAGCTGGGACAGTCCGTGGCATGACATGTTGCGTTCATGGAACGAGCGAGCGTTGAACTTTGGCTTCGCGTTTCGTCCTGCGCGCCGCCGGGAAAATCAAATCCTCGTACGGAATCTTGCTGGCTCACGCGGGAGGCAAGAGGGCCAAGAGCACCATGGACAAATTGTACCTTGTTTTTCGTGCGTCTGTTTGCTTTTGCCTGCGCCACTGCGTCATGGTGGTGCGGCTTGCCAAACAACATGCATACAATTGTTGAGCGCACAGCTCACGCGCGCCCGCTTAGCGCACACGCCTGTCAACTGTCGAGCACACCCGCCCACGCGCGGCCGCGACAGGGTATGCTTAAACAGGTGAACGCTGAGCAGCGTGTGGGCGGGCAGAGTTCTGGCGAAACACATCGTGATCACCGTTGCTTCGGACTAGCTGTCCACCAAGCACGCTGGGATGCTGTCCACTTGGCCGTGCGCAGTGCTGAACGGGCTTGGGTGTTTGTGGGCATATTATTTGGCAGGCATTTGTGCAGAGCTGCGAGGGTGCAATGTTGCGCGCGTTTTTTTCATGGTCGTGCATGGTGTGGCGCAACAAGAACAACAGGCGACGCGACCAACTCGCTCAGCACCGCACACACGGTCAATGGTTTGGCACACCAACCGCACCACGTGCGTATGCATGCTAACACCCGCTCATGCGCAACCACTCAGGCCAACCCACCTGCCGACCAACTTTTCAACACACCCTGTCACGTGCTGCGCAGCACTATGCATGATTCTCCACACTCGCCCAGGCGCGCTTCATCGCGCTCTTTCAGCGCAGCGCACGTTGCTTTCAACTCTTACGCGCACTGTTGAGCAAAACCGCCGGCGCCCACCCAGCACGGCTGCCTGTCAAGCGTTGGCACGCCGAGCTCTGCGTTTGCAATTTGTTAAGCACACCCTCTCACGCGCGTCCGCTCGGCAGTGCAAACAATTCTGTGAAATCGTAACTGTGCAATTGCACACGCGTGCCCGGTAAGCGACGGACAGGACCTGTCAACTGCGATGCGCACCCGCCCAAGAGCACCCGCGACACATCACACACGCCTGTCAAGGGCACGCGTGGGCGGTTGTGCCCAACAGTTGACAAAGCATTTGTGCAGTGCTGAATGGTTGTGCGTGAGCGGGTGTGTTTAACAGTTGGCACACATGTGTGCGGCCTTGCTTGGGTGCGCGTGGGCGGGTATGCGTGACACTGCGTGACAGTTGAGAGTTTTTTTGGTTGCACACGTGGGCGGGTGTGCCTAACAGTTGACAATTGACCGGCATGTGCGCACCCCTGAGCCAAAGAGCGTGGCAGGGTGTGCTCAACAGTTAACAGGCGTTTGTGCAGTGCTGAGGTGTGTGTGTGTGTAGTGCTGCGAGTGCGCGTGGGCGGTTGCTACGCGAAGGCAAGTGTGCAGGGCGCGCGTAGTGCGCCGACAGGCGTGCGCCAGCAGCATGAGTTTCGGTGCCGGCGCGGCAGCCAGCACCCACGCACAAACTTAGAGGCCTGCCGGGCGAGGAGAGGGCAGTTTCTGAGTCAAGAAACGGCGACGCAATGCTTAGCGGCGTAAGCGTGCGATTGGGACGCCGGCAAAACCAAGGTGCTATGCCAGAGCATTGCGCGTCTGGAAGCTGCGGCAATGCACCGAGAAGCAGCTGAGGTACGCTGCTCAAAATTCGCCTTCACGCAGTTCAGCCTGGGCCGCCCGTCCAGCACCGAAGCTATGGTGCGCGCAACGCGGCATGCACGAGCAAAGCTTCCGGCAGTATTCCCCAGCAGGAAACGTGCTCCGAAGTTTCCGCCGAGGCTCGGCGCTGCGTCCGGGCCAGTGCTGTGCAGCGCCTTCCCAACTTGCTGTTAACAGTGAGTGCCATCGGCGTCGGGCGCGTGTCGCTGCAATTTGCATTGCGGCGGCGTCGCTGGAATTTGCATTGCGGCGACGCGCGTTGCTGCAGGGCAAACTGCGCGTGACTAATTACTTCGCGCACACAACGCGGGCAGCCGCTGCGAAGGCCAACGTGCAGAAACAACATCGTGATGGATAAACTGCCAGGATTGCGGAAGAACGGTTCTGAATCACATGAACGCGCGGTTTCCATGGTGGCCGTGGAGCGGCGCAGGAAGGACGCACTGTGTTGTTGGCGGTATCGGCCACGCACCGCTCGCAGATCCGCGCCTCTTGCGACAGTTCTTGCCAGCTGGGTGGTTTGCGGGCAAGCGGCCAAACGACACGGCCAGAAAACTAATTTAAGCACGGAACGTGGGGAATCACGCATTCGATTGACAAAACCAGGCTCGTGCAGTTCCTATCGTAGCCATTTCCAACAGCGGCGTGCTCCAGAGTATCGTTTTGACAGCCGGGCAACAGCAGGCCAAATATTTATGCGGTCGCACGTGTGCGGCGCGACCTTCGACAAAATCACGTGGGGCACACTTCCAAACATGACTCATGTTTTAGTGCATTGTGGAGCAGTTGAACATGGCAAAACCTCCGCCGCAAATTAAAAAAAGTTACAGTGTGTAATGCTTGTGATGATTTGTTGTCCGGAGCTGTTGCCATCACTGTTTCTCCAAGAAGGCTCACGCGCACCCTGCAGGCCGCGCGGACGCCGTCTAATGTGAAATCTCACGATGTAGCTCGCGGTTTGCGCGGCGCTTGGTGCGGCGGTCGTGGTCTTGCAGCATGGGCCAGGGCAACGTTGCAGTTGTCAAAACCGCGCACAATGCATCACAAAAACAACAGCAGCAAAGGTATCAAACGTCAATGAAACCGACCCGAATACAATCTGCATTTGCAAGCACACGCAGCCACATCCATATTCATCCGCCGTTCATTGGAGTGACGCTTTTGAATAAATTTGGTCGATTACAAAACATGCGGTTCTGATGGTTCCTTAACAGTATGTGCACTCTTCTCAACAATTTAGGTGCAACGGACATATCACGTTCTCCAGTTCATGATCATTTCCTCCCCTCGGCAAATTCATTGTGGTAAAACTGGCATCCAGTGCTCAAGGGCGGTGTGTTTTTTGCTGTCCATTGCTACGTCAGTAAACAACTGCTTGCTGACCTGACCGAGCCTCATCGAATTTGTCTTGAAGTTTTTTCGCCGGTCTGATTCGCCATGGTTTTGATATGGTCCTTCGTTCTCGATAGGCATGCCTTGGTTGGCTTACTTTGTCACGTGCACCGGTGTCCACGCAAACCACGACCCTCTGGAAATACCCGCTTGACACAATTGCGTCTTCCACCAATATTCAGAAACTTGATGTCAAACCCTTTGGGAACGGACAAACTCAAATCAACTTTTCATTCAACGGCGTCCCACGGTTTGCGCGTCGATTTAATGCTCTGCCCTGCCCCCCTCCTTTCGCCACAGCGCACGAGGTATAGAAACCCCAATCATCGCGTTGCCCAAACCACAACCCGTTTCTCACAATTCTCGATGTGGTTGCTTTAGGGTGGAATGGGGGACATGCCGCGGCAAACAGCGTCAAATCTTACCTGCCAACGTCGAATAAACAAGCATGTGACCGTGTCCAAACTCCATTTCCAGTAGTGATACGGTCCTTTCAAAACCAGCAGGGAAAATAACGAATACCCTAAAACTGGAACCTGACGGGTCCCTTCCCCCACGCCAAGCGGCCTTGGATGTGCAGCATTTCAGGCACAACGCGTTGTCGTGGCATGCCTGCGCGACTGGGGGCTAGATGCATTCAACGCCACAGCTCATCTCAGAGTTTGGCTGCATTCAATCCTGCCTCTGCCGGCCTCAACATGCCTACAAAGCCGTGCTAGCTTGA